TTTTTGTTTGTTTGTTTGTTTTGTTTTGTTTTCATTTATTTATTTATTTTTTTTGATAACTTTTTCCTATTAATGTCACATATATGCACTTAATTTCCATATAGGTCTACTCTGAGTTTATTGTGTTCCTGTGATGTTACTGGAGCCATCAGCAGCACAAATACTATCCCCAACACAGCGCAGTCTCAGGGGAGCCCATAATAAGCCATTAAACAGGCGCATTAGAGCTAATGAAAAGGCTCTCAGTGGTTTACACTGTGGGCCACCTGGACTGATCAGCTCTGTCACTAAATAACTCACATGTCGACTCCCATCACATACACTGGCAAAGAACAGTGACTGAGCCTTTTATATGGGCTTGTGTTGTACTTTGAGGAAAAAAAAAAAAAACATACAAAAACAATCAACCTTTAGATCTGCAACTGATTGGATGAGATTTGTGAAGTACACAGTAGAATGATCGATTTGCTTATATTCATTTATATGAAAATTCAACAAATGCTCGTAAATGCACGTTAAACAATATATTTTAGTTTCTTAATTAAAGGCAATCTTCAACTAATTATTGTTTCAGAGTTCATGCTTATATTTTATGCACTGTATTCAGTGATGTCTTTTGTTCACAGGAGTGCAACCTGTCTGTTATTTTTCATATAAAACAATTATATTTGTTCTATCTCAACAAATAATTGTAGTAGTCCCCTACATTTTGGCATTAAGATGGGACAATGTGTAGTTTAAATTTGCTGTTAAATAATTATATTAATGATATGATTATTTGGACTTTGTTCCAATATCAGCTCAGGATATAACAAAAAAAACATGTACAAACATGTATAAACACACTGTATATTTATGAACAGCTCTCAGTTTAAAATGGCTCTAGTAGATGACTGCTTTAGTTGGGTAGGTGCTGTCAGTGGTGCTGAAATCCACTCCTCTACCTGTGATTGTGATGCAAGTGTTAATGGAGTGAGAGGCACATGGTGATTAGCCTGATGTGGACTAATGTCCCTCCTCTGAGCTCCCCTCAGAGACACACTGCCTTTTCTCTGCAGTCTTTCACTGGAACGCATGTTTTCTGCTCAGTTTCACACCACACTCACTGCACTGGCTTCAGGGCTTTTACTAACACTAACATTCTTTAGCCAGATGATATGTAGAACTTTCATCAGTCAATTCAATCACATTTATGTCTTATGATCAATAAGTAAGGACCATGGAGCAAGATCAAATAGCTTTAAAAATAAATGTTCATAAAGGTGGGGGGTTGCTAACCACTGGATTTGTTTACTAACATTTAATTTAAACTGCCTTTTCAACAATATATTTTCTTATTCATTTATTACATTTTAGTTCGTATACATTTAGTTTGTATACAGAGATGTGGTTTTGTAAATGCAGTTGTTTTAGGATGAGTCATTTACTACAACTGTTATTTAACTCAATTCACTGCAGAAAGCACAAAGCCCATACATTCCTCTATAATTGTCCTTTTGTGTGATAAGGACCTGGTGAAGATAATGAAAAATGAGCAGTCATGCAGGTTTGAGGCTTTTATGGATCATACAAAATTTGTAATTTGATACTGGTAGAGAGGCAGCAGAAAGATAAAAAGCAAATGCAGAGCTAGTCTATTGTTGACTGTAAGTCAGTTGTAACACCTCTGAAGTAGACTCATAGTTTCCCTTCAGTACTAGTCTATTAAGACAGAATTACAATCGAGTACTAATCTTTTGATTATCCAGCCATAGGGATTTTTAAACACCCAAACCAGGAGAAACGTAGGTAACTGCATCAGGAAGGTCATCTGGCTGAAATATATGAAAATAATAAAAATCACTATATATAGGAAATTCTACATTTAGTTGCAATGAATAGAATAAAAAAATACATAAACTAATCAGATAATAACTAATAAAATGTGATGCATATTTATAGCTAATGTATTAAAAGTTATATTTATATTGAAATAAATAAAGGATTCATTATTCACAAAACATTATCAAAAGGCACCATCTTGCTCATTGTGTTCTCTTTGTGCTGCTGCTGCTGCTGCCTTCAGGAAAATCAAGCCTTGTAATTGCCCAAATTGTGCTTTTATGTTGTGTGATTGGAAGCCAAACCTTGAGTAGAGGGAGCTGCCTGTCGTGATGAGGATGATGATGGCGATGATTGAGGGGAGGGTCGAACCTTGTGCCAGCTCAGCCAAGTGTGTAATGTGAAATGGGAGCCACAGAGAGGGGTGGGGGTTGGTGAGCTGCAGGAAATGAATTAAGAGCATAGTGTTTGGATATCGGTAAGAGAGAGGCAGGTGGATGTATTCAAAATGTGTTTGGTTTGTGGAAAAATACAAAACAGTACAGAAGTAGATAAGGAGATGTTGCTGGTCATATCTCTTATGTGCAGAGGTGAGATCAAGAGTCCCTTGGGATGTGACACTTTGACCCCGCCAATGACTTCTGGGACCAGGTAATGAACTGGGGAAAAGACTTGGTACATTTTCTCAGATAAAAGCATTGTATATAGGTAAATAATTAGCATAAGATGAAAAGGAATCATCCAAAATGCAGAAAAAGGTGTAGATAAATGTTTTGGTTGTAATGTAGACGAGAGAGGCAGAAGCAAATTTCTTCAACGTGAGCAAAGACAGTAAAAATTCCATATAATTTTGCAATGAGTAGAGATTATCCATATCCAGTGATTTATATGCAATTAAGCATCTTGTTAGTAGTAATGTACTTGTAATGTAGTCTAGATTACTATTACGCATGATTAAGCTCTACCTGTGTCATTACTCCTCGGACTTCTCTGAAGGCCTTCACTTCTGGGCACCCCGGGAATCCCTGATGTTCTGAACCAGGTCTTTTAAACCCCAAGTCAGGCATCATTTTGACGTTACCTCGGACGTAAAGTTGCCATTAACTCAAGGCCTGAATTATAAAGCCACCTAAAAGCATTGACTGTTTTATTTTGGGTGTACTGGGTTACTGTATTAGGTCATATGTGGGTCTTTGGGTCGCGATGGAGACGGGGGGGCGCGTGTGTCAGAGCTGCTCTTTTCATCCCGCGGCTCACTCGTTGAGACAGCGGTGCGCGCGGGGAGAGGGCTGCAGCGCGCTGATAACACTCGCTGTCATTAACTCTTCCATTCACACGGAATGATGGCGACAAGGAGCCGTGTTCGCCGAAAAAGACTAAAACAGTCCTAAAATCAGACTGTTTTATTTGTCTGCTGGATTTGATAACAACGGCCACAGATGCAAAGGCCTGATACAGTCGATTCGGCCTGGAGGCTTTTAGTAGACTCGTTATAACCTGGTTTCAAATTTATTAATAGTCAGTTAATTAAATGTCCTGCCAGAGTTATGTTGGTAAGCAAATATCAGTTTGATTAGTTTGATCTGATTCTGTTGGTTTTGCTTGACTGTGTAGGCCTAAAATGACGTGTAGGTTTATGAAATAAAATAAAGCCTACTGAAACTACATACATTTTTTTTTTTTTTTTAAACAAAAAAAATAAAACGAGTGACCTTGATGCGTGTCCTTGATTTAGGCCTAGGTTTCTTAAGAAACATACACATCGCTTTTCAGGGTAGAGCACTGAATTGACTAGATGGACGGTGTAAAGTAAAACGAAATGAGGTCCATATCCCCTTTTCCTATATTATAATGGGCACTGGACAAGTTGTATTCTTTCCCTCAACACACTCGGATCAGATGACACTGCTGTGATAAAAGCAGTCGCAGACTGACCGTAACGTAACTGTGCCACGCACAGTGCAAACAAACTGGTGCAGCAGCGTGGCGCGCAGTCACTGGGTTAATGCGCTTAAAAGGAAACTGTGGCACGCACCAAAATCGTGAGAGCGTCAACCCTCAGAAGAACGCCTCTGGCTTATTTTGTCACCAAAGGCGCGATGTTTTCGATTAACTCTCTGTGTGTTATTTTTTGAGAGACTTCTCCCCAAGTGTAACCCATTGTGGTCTTTCAAAACAAATACCATTTATGCCTATTGTTTTCTTCTGTGGTATATCTTATAAGATAGGCCAAGCTGCCCTATGGACTAATTCTTGGTACGCTATAGAAATACAGTCTGACTATTACAGTTACACCTCATTCACTTTATTTATAAGAATCCAAAAATCCATCCTAATTTACGCAGTCCAAAAAGGCATGAGGCATTTTATTATTACTAGATTTAATTCAGTTTAGAGCAACAATCTATACAGAGATTAACACAAAAAAGTCAAAGGATATATACATTTACCGCTCGACTAAATTGATCAGCATTTAGAGAACACAACTTCTGTGCGTAAAAGGGGGAAAAGATCTTATTTTCAGCCATCCATTTGGAAAACGTATTTTGTTCGTAAACGGAGAGCATTGATTCAAAGTGACAAACCATAGTCGCTGAATAGCTTATGATGAATGAATGAAAGTTCTCAATGAAATGCTTAGTCAAAAACGAAAACCAACGGAGTTCTAAACACCGTGCGCCCTTGGGTCTTACCAGCAAAAACAAAATTAGTCCCTCCTTTTAAAAATCCAAATATCCAATTATAGGCTATTGAAGCTCTGCGTCCTCTTCATCAGAATAACTTTTTGTTCATTTTTGAGCAATGTTTGATATTAATTCTTCTCCACATAGGTGTCTTCATTTTCTTGGCTTGCTTTTATACGCGTAAAGTTATGCAAGCTACGAGGCCCCCAGAATGCCATTGGACGTGAGGCAGAGGTTTGGTGGGTTGAGGTTGGGAAACGGAATGGTGGGGGTTCTTGAAGCGCCTCCCCTAGAAATGCAGCAAATCTGTGGCGTTTTTGCGCGCGTGTGTGTCGGTGGAGCACAGGAGGGAGGCTGTGGAGATCGCATTGGCAGTAAGTGTGATGAGGACACGTGTCTCCTCCCTGCCTCTCCCCCAGGGCTCCTCGGTACCGCATTGGCATCAGTGAAGGCACCTGAAAAGAGCACGCCGAAAGGGAGCTACGTCTCGGGCCTCATAAAAAAACTGAAGAAAAAAGACGACGGAAGAAAAAAAAAAACGTGCTTTGATTCGTGGCTTTGGTGCGTAACGCTTTTGCGCGCGCCGCTCTGTTAACGCACAGCCAAACGTCGAGAGCGCAGCGTCAAGATCCAGAGACGGAGCAGCAGCACCTGAAGGTGACATGAACCTGGGTAGAATTAAGAAGCAAACCGCGAAGAAGTGGAGATAGCAACTCGGAGTTTCTAAACATTATCGCTTCATTTTGTCGTGGCCTCTTATTTCACTGTCTTGGAGATAATTAAAATACGGAAATTAAAATGGCGACGTTAATTAGAGGCAAGCTGACGAATAAACTGTCAAACGCAGCCACAGCTGTGTCTAACAAATCACAGGCAAAGGTGAGTGGCATGTTCGCGAGGATGGGCTTTCAGGCCGCCACCGATGAGGAGGCTCTGGGTTTCGCATCTTGCGATGATTTGGACTACGACCACCGGCAAGGTATGCAGATGGACGTCCTGACTTCGGAAGAGATGATGATGGGCGGCGGGGGAGAGGGTGGTGAGGGCAGCGGGGACATGATGGAAGGGGACAGTCACTACCAGAGAGACGGCACCGGGCCACCAAAGTCTGCCTCCAAAGACGGAGCTTCACCCAACGAATTAAGTGAAGCCAGACCCAAAATCACCGCCTGGGAAGCTGGATGGAACGTCACCAATGCCATCCAGGTAAAACTGTGGAATGAAACTCATAACACGTTTTCCAGATCTCTAAATTAAATCAAGTTTTCACTGACGGTAATGATCACTGGCGATAATTGGGGAAACACAATGTTGTTTGGCCCAATGTATTTTGGCCCCGGCAAAGAGAGCATTAAGGGCGTCAAACGGTGCCGCAAAAGGGAGGTAGAATCTGTGCCCCGTTACCCCCTCCCTTCTCACACCTACGCACACGCACGAATTCTTTGTCTGTGAAGTAATGCCCATCCATTGGCATCGATGCAATAACAGCACACTGCACAAACCACATTGTATCGAGGCCTATGCGTAATGGCAACAGTCATTGAACAAAAAAGTAACAAAAAAATGTACATTTCAAACATGTAATATTTGGCTTTATAATTGCCCTGAATGCACCGTCTCAAAATTATATCAAGGTATCAGGATGTATATCAGGAAATTTGTTTAATAATTAGGGCATTTGAGAGCTGCATAACTCCGTGGTGTGATGTACAGTTTTTAAAATATACATAGGGTCTGCGTTTTAAGTACAGCCTAATACACGTCCGCCACATCCCCACCGACAAAAATGTGGCTTTATTCAGGGGTTTCGTAACTTTTACGCACAGAAAAAAAACATATTAGGGCTAATTTCAAATCTATATGTGCATAATTGTTTTCTTTCTCTCTCTCTCTCTCTCACACACACACACACACACACACACACACTCGCACGTATGCACGCGCACGCACACACACACACACACGCACACAGACACACGCACACACACACTCACACACACACACACACATACATACATACAAAGAAAACCCTGAGAGGATCGTAATCTGAAAGAGGCTCTGCGACAAAAAGCCCTTCAGACGCACCGGTTCACGTTGCCTTTTGGGACATGTGTCACGTCACGGCGCCTGTCCTCCGTATTGCAGTGACGTCAGAGGGCAGCGATGAGCTTAGAGCAAAGTGGAAAACCCACAGTATAAAAAAAAAGTATATCAATAAATAAATTACTAAAAAAAAATAAAAAAAAATAATGGCACGTTGATGCATCATGCTTGAATGTCAGTATCAAAAACTGTTCAACCAAATTGGCCTCTTAAGGTAGGAAAAAAAGCTAAGTATTCAGTATGTTGGCTTAATTTGTATGCAGGCCCACACCTGGACATAGACATCCAATGAGCAATTGCCTTATTTGAGTCACGGTGCAAATATATTTGATCACTATTGGGGCGTTTACATAGACTTCACACTGCGTTTGTTCTTCCACAGGGGATGTTCGTCCTGGGCCTGCCCTATGCCATTCTCCACGGTGGATACCTCGGACTCTTTCTCATTATTTTCGCCGCCGTCGTTTGCTGCTACACGGGGAAAATCCTCATCGCCTGTCTGTACGAGGAAGACGAGGACGGACAAATGGTCCGCGTCAGAGACTCGTATGTGGACATTGCTAATGCCTGCTGTGCACCCCGCTTCCCGACTTTGGGCGGTCATGTCGTGAATGTAGCGCAGATCATTGAGCTGGTAATGACATGCATCCTGTACGTGGTAGTGAGCGGGAATCTCATGTACAACAGCTTCCCAAACATGCCCATCTCACAAAAGTCCTGGGCCATAATAGCCACCGCTGCGCTGCTGCCGTGCGCCTTCCTCAAAAACCTCAAAGCTGTGTCCAAGTTCAGCTTATTGTGCACTTTGGCTCACTTCGTTATCAACATTCTGGTGATTGCCTACTGCCTGTCCAGGGCTAGAGACTGGGCCTGGGACAAGGTCAAGTTTTACATAGATGTCAAGAAGTTCCCCATCTCCATTGGAATTATTGTGTTCAGTTACACGTCTCAGATCTTCCTTCCGTCGTTGGAGGGCAACATGCAAAAGCCTAGCGAGTTCCACTGCATGATGAACTGGACCCATATTGCTGCCTGCATCCTCAAAGGCCTCTTCGCGCTTGTGGCCTACCTGACCTGGGCTGATGAAACCAAGGAAGTGATAACAGACAACTTGCCTCCGGGCATTCGCGCTGTAGTCAACATATTTCTTGTGGCCAAAGCATTGCTTTCCTATCCTTTGCCGTTTTTTGCCGCTGTCGAGGTCTTAGAGAAAAGCTTTTTCAAAGATGGGGGGCGCACATATTTCCCAGATTGCTACGGGGGCGACGGACGACTCAAATCGTGGGGACTCTCACTCCGCTGTGGCCTTGTAGTGTTCACCTTGCTTATGGCCATTTACGTGCCACACTTCGCGCTGCTAATGGGCCTCACGGGCAGCCTGACAGGCGCGGGCCTTTGCTTTCTGCTTCCCAGCCTCTTCCATCTCAAGCTTCTCTGGAGAAAGCTCCTATGGCATCAAGTTTTCTTCGACGTCGCAATCTTTGTAATAGGAGGTATATGCAGCATCTCTGGCTTCATTCATTCAATGGAGGGGCTCATAGAGGCCTTTAAATACAACATAGAAGAATAGCTCGTAGATGTTCAATGCAAATCCCCGTTTAGTCAAAGAAAAAAAAACTTCCTGGCACGGTCTCTTCTGCTTAATCCATGCGTAAAAGGCGCATTTTCATGTAGCCTTGTATCCGTTCACAAAAATACATGTGCACCCACTGAAATGTGTGCGTGCACTGACATATGGCTATAAGTATCCAGAGTCCACCCTGTGGACAGTACATGTTGTACAAATGACATCTTTTGAGTCGAGTTTATAATTAAATAAAACCAGATCCATTGTAATGCTTGGACACGTTTGGTAATATGTGAGAGTAGGCTACTGATTGGAAAACATTCACAAATATAAGAGAGCAAGTCCCTCTACTTTACCTTCACAGATTGCAATATTGGAACTAATGCAATGAATACAAGGCAATAATAGCCTACATATGAAATGTGAAAGCATAGGGATAAATAATAGGCTATATTTTCTGTACACGTGAGGAATTGGACCTTTCCCCTGAAAGATTTACACACACAGCAGCTATACAAACTATGCATTGAATGTATGATACAAATACACAGAACACCATTAAACTGGGAAGTAGAAATTATACAGCTCCGTTTTATTGCGTAAACGCGTGGATATTTATTATTTTGACATATTTTCAACTTAACGTCTTCTAGATCTGTTATTTTGGCTTTAAGAAATGTCACTGTCCTTTCTGGTTGCAAGATCCAATGGAAAGCCCGCACTTTCAGTTCAACATGGCCTATTCTGAGGTTAAAATAGATTTCCTATTTCCTAATTTGGTGTTTGAAATCAAAAAAAGAGGAAAATGTGCATACATTTTTCATTTTGTGCAATCCAATGGGTCCTGTGGAAATGTTACAAATCCGTATGTGTAGTGTGTTGTTGTGGTTTCAAAATGATGGAATGTATATCTCAAAGTCGTTAACATATATCGTGAAATTAATATTAAAGAATAAAGAAAAGTGACATTATATTGTAAAAACGTGTGTGGTTTTATGTAAAACGAACGGTCAGAACATGTATTTTTTTGTTCTCTATAATAAAAGAGAAAAAACATCGAAGGCGCAGTCATATTATTTGAGCTTGAAATGCAAGGTGTAGGCTTAGGTTGAAGATTGGGGAGCTCGCTCTGGGAAGATTAAGAACTAGTGGGAAATGAATGCTCTAGGTTGGGGATCAGGCCAACAACATCGAACGGTCCATAGTAACAGCAAAACTGAGCCTAGTCAAATCCAAAGTTCTTCAGTACTTTTGCAGACACTCCTAGAGTTCGTGCGCGCCAGATGATATGCTGCAGGCCTCGTGCTCGACCTGTTCACCCACCATGTTGAGTTCTCGCAGAGACATCATCTGGCCTAGTCATTTGTTCGTGAGCGCCCGCAAACTCCCTGTCGACTGCAGGAATTTACGAAGTTAAGCTACAGGGTCAGTGTATTTATTATTAGTGTCCTAAAAATGTCATAATGAAAATTAAAAAATCAGAAAAAAAGATTTTAACAAAACTACAGAAAAACTTTCCAGCAGATGTATGGACTCATGCATGGACCTTCTTTATGTAATAGCAAAAGAAGATGAAGCATTTTTAAATACAAGATATGATAACTGTTGGCAAATAGAACATGTAAACAAATAAAATCAGGGCATTGATATTTCTAGTAGAACGGGAAACATTTGAAGTTAAAGTATGTTCCTTTTCAGAAGAGGAGACAACTAAACATTGTACAATATTGTTTGGTTTAAGCTGTTCAGTTTAATGAAGGATATTGTAATATTCATATATGGACCTGTCACTGGTTAGAATCAGACCGTTTACAGGACACTACTGTCTAGGGTTAGAATATAGCTCTCTGGCGCCCTCAGGTGGAGACTGCAAGGACTGTGGAAGGTGCTGGAAACGCGGAGAGTAGCTGCACAGAGGACAGGGCGGAGACTCGGGTCGGCTGGGGTAAGACGGTGACATTTCCCCATTTCATGAGGAAAAGGCCTGAAACACACACGACTAGTTCCTCCTAATTGGTTTGGCACGTTTAAAAGATACTTTTAAGGAACATTGTACTTGCACTTCAAATTCACACTTGTAAATGTGGAAACCAACACTTTGATACGTGTGTACTAATTGTTACTTCTCCTCGCGCTCTTACTATCATACGTTGCCAAAAAAAGGGACTTGAAGACATTATAGATGTCTCTATAAACTGTGAACTCTATCGCACCCGTTTCTGAATCAAATTCCACTGTGTTAAAGGTGTTTTTGCATGCAGTCGTTTGAATTACCTACGCTCATGAACGCAGCACGGCTCGACCTGTCACACACTCGGAAGTAAATAAACGCTCGCGCACACGTGATCGCATAGACAGACATGGCGGCCTACAGACTCGCGGGTGCTGTGTGTCTCCGCGGATGGGCTCTGGTGCCCCGGCACTGCCTCAGCCGACCGGGCAGCGGTCTCAGGGGCTTCAGCGGGCTCAGAGGCACGGTCCTCAGGGCGGACACGGAATCCGCTCTCCGCGCGGCTGTAGCGGGGTGTAGACTGCGACCCCCGCTGTGGAGCCAGGACATAAGCGCCCCCTCCCGATACCGACTAACGCCGGCCCGGGCTTTTGGGAACCGAGTCAGTGGAGAGGACAGCGCCAACAGCGGAGCGCCCGGGTGAGAGGAGCCCGGAGGAGATGGAGACGGCGGCGGATACAACGGCCCTCACATGACCGCCCTGACTCCCATGATGGTTCCGGAGGTGTTCCCCAACGTACCGCTGATCGCCGTCAGTAGAAACCCGGTGTTTCCCCGTTTCATCAAGATCACTGAGGTAAATGTGCCCTTTCAGCAGCCGCTTTACTCCCCGCTGCCGCTCCATCCCTCACGGTGTCACCAAGGGCACATGACGCAACAATGCGCGCTGCTCCGTCATCTGCTGCTGCTGTAGAAACCCTTTTCATTGCCCTGGGCATCAAACGGACAAGTCCGTGTAGTTTTTACCCGTTTGCGCATCTCCACAGTATGTGGAGTATGTGGGGTTGAGCTGGACTGTGATGTTTCTCCTTTTATAGGTTAAGAACCCGGAGCTGATGGAGCTGCTGAGGCGGAAGGTGCGCCTAGCACAGCCCTATGCCGGAGTCTTCCTCAAGAGAGAAGACAGGTATGTGCTCCCCCAGGGTCAGAGGCCGCTGCTGTGGGCTGTGCATGTCTGTGTGCTGCTCATATTAGTATAGACTGTGTCTATGTTACTTGGAGCTTGTTTAGTTACCTTGTTTAGTCTTGTATAGTGCTTTACTAAGATAATATAAGAATCCCATGCATTTGTGAATATTATTATGACTATAATCTGGTTCACTGACAATGGCAAAAAGGCATATTGTGAGGATTGGTTAGGTCACATGGAGCTTTAGAGAGCTCTACCTGTGCTGTTGTCATGCACCTGTCACTCACAGTTCTATGTTGTAGTAACGAGTCAGATGTGGTGGAGACTCTGGACTCCATCTACACCACCGGGACCTTTGTGCAGATCCATGAGATGCAGGACCTGGGGGACAAGCTGCGTATGATTGTAATGGGCCACCGCAGGTAAGCTCCATCCTCTCTGACTTTACAGACTTACATCAATATGACGGAATATGAGAACGAGTGGTCTGTTGTCCCTTGGCAGCTTGATCAAAACAATCAATTACAAATAGGGTTCAAAATCTTCCAAAGAGTGCTCATGAGAACTCAGTTTTAATGCTGTAGGCCATTTTGAATTCAAAGTTAATATAGAGGAGGCATGAATTTATGAGTTCAAAAAGTGCCCATATCACTTTTTAATAAAAAAAATGTTATAATTTGATTAATAATTATAATCATAATGAACATGAATAGCTCAGCTTTAACCATGCTAAGCATGGTGACTCCTGTGTCTGTCCCTCAGAATCCGGATCACTCGGCAGCTGGATGTGGAGCCAGAGGAGCCCACAGTGTCCCCAGACTCAGAGCCTCAGCCCAAAGCAGCCCTGTCCCTGCGCAGGAAAGGCAAACGGGTGCGCAGGGACCCCCCGGCGAGCCTTGCAGAGCAGTTGGAGGACAAGGTTAGACTATCTTGTGCAGTAGCTGAAGAAGCTGAACTCTTTATAATTCATAAGTTGTCCTCAGGGGTGGATAGCAACTACATGACTGTAAGTGAGTGGATACCTTTGGTAACTGTACTTTTTGAGTAGATTTTTAAACCTGAACTTATACTTGTAATTGAGTATATTTCTAGCCATGTAATGATAAATGTATGTTTTTAATACAATGAGTACAAGAGCACAGTCACTGATAGAAATGATCAGGTTCAACATTTGTAAATTTACTTTTTGGATATTTCGTGACAAAGTACAGTGTAATCAGTAGGAGTTACTGGAGTTACTGCTTTCAGCATAAATCCTGATTGTCCTTATGCACAGCTGTCTTATCACTCTTTTCATCTGTGGTCCTCTAAAACATTATTAATCCCCACCTTGTTGCAGATCTCTGAAGCAGATCTTAGCCCTGAGCTGCACCCTCTGCCCTCCTCCTCCATCCTCATGGTAGAGGTGGACAACATCCAGTACCAGAGCTTCACTGTCACCGAGGAGGTCAAGGTAAGAATGGGGACAGGACATACAGCAAGGTTTCACTAATACTGCCTTTATTTAAATCTGGAAATAGGTCATGTTTTTTTTTCTTTTCTAGAATATAGTATCTTTGATCTATAGATTGGCAAGAAGACTGAAATCTGAACTGTTAAAAAAACAAACAACATAATTAGTTCATTTTAAACTGTCTGGCTTATTCTGAACTCAAGAGGTGCTTATGCAGTACACTACTAGTCAAAAGTTTGGACTATTAACTAACTAATTAACTGTAATGCAAAATGTAAAGGATTTCAGTGGTTTTCTGTCTAGGAAAAAAAACAACTACTGAAATCCTGAAAATGTGTACTCGATACGTATGTGTATTCTAAAATGTATTGTATGAATGTGTAACGTGACTGCCTCCCTTTTTAGTTACTAACTTATTATTTATTTTATACTTGTATGTATATATGTATGTATGTGTATGTATATGAGTATGTATATATATGTGTGTGTGTATGTGTACATATATGTGCATATTGGTGTATGTGTGTGTGTGTATGTGTATATATATATATATATATATATATATATATATATATATATATATATATATATATATATATATATATATATATATATATATATATATATATATATATATATGTAGCATATCCCTCTGAATGAAGACTTGACACTTGAACTGGCGATTTTTAGATTTAATGTCAATAAATCCTTCAAATCTGCCGTAAGAGCTAAAAAGAACACAAATACAATGTGTAAATAGGCATTCACAAAACTTAACGGAAGCTTGATTAATATTTACATTAATCTAGACAACATCAAACAACAATAATAAAAAAACTAGAGACACAAAAATTATTCAAAGAAATATTTACATCAAAAACGTACCTTTGTGCCTCTTCAGAGGGAAAGCTAAATAAAAACTTAGAAAAATACCAAAAAATGATATCTACACATTTGCTCCGCAACGTTTCTCCCCTCTCGTTGTCAAGGCAACCAGACAAACATAAACCTTTCAAAATAAAAGCGCCAAACACAAACGAGCAAGTCAATGGTCAACAACAGAAAATGGTGTAACACAAAAAACAATCATAAAAGGTCACAAGAGATTTCAACAAGACAAATTATACTATAGGTTATTTACATTATATATAATATATACACACACACACACACGCCTGGTACACGTTTAGTATATGTTATCTGTATTTATACATACATATATAATCCTTTTCATTATTAAGTATCATCATAATTATTATTGCTATTATGTAATTTATTTTATTATTATTTAGTTATTTTGTAAATTTTTTATTATTTTTTTCTTTCCCTTTTTTAATTTTTTTTAATCTACTTTCTATGTTTATATTGAGTTTATGTGGGGGTTGGGGAGTGGGGGGGAATAGGGCATGTATATTATGATTTATGTGGACAAAAAAGCACTGAACAAATTGCAAATTATAAAAATAAAAAATAAAAAAAATTGACTATTTTCAATGTAAATTCTCACTTCATCTCACTGAAGGCATCAAAATTATGAATGACCCATGTGGAATGTAGTGAACGACAGCTTAACTTAAACTTGTTTTAGATTTTAAGAAATGGCCACCCTTTGCTTTGGTTTGCACTTTTGGCATTTCTTGAGCCTGACCAGGCACAGCTGTGAAGAGAAAACCATTTCAGGAGAATTCCTCATCAAGAAGCTCATAGAAAGAAGGCCAAGGGTTTACGTCACTGTCAATAAAGCAAAGGGTGGCTGACTTGGATTTGAAAATAAAATATTTTCTAAAATATAAAAAATATTTAGTTGATACTTTACTTTTTACTTTGCTACATAGTTCAAATATCTCTTGATTCATATTTTCTGTATTAATATAAATGTAGAGAAAAGTAAACATGAAGAAAAAAAACATTGAATGAGAAGGTGTGTATATCTGTCCTGGTCAAATACATGTAAAAACTGAGTACAGGGGCTTTATCAAATCAAAGAATCTTGGTGGTAGATGTCTAAACTACAGGGTTAGCAGCTTTTACACAGAACCCATGGAGACGCTGGGTTGTCTTCAGGGGATATTGTAGTGTCTCCTTAGTTGCAGCATTTGTCATGAGCTAACTGTGCCGATAATGTGTTGGGTCACATACGTGTGGCAGCTGTGGCTTATATGTGTGTGTTGTGGACAGGCTCTGACGGCCGAAATTGTGAAAACCATCAGGGACATCATCGCTCTGAACCCCCTGTACAGGTCAGCCCTTTCTCCAGTCTCATGTAAACCTGTAAGAATCCTGCCTTTAGTATCTCAGTATCTCAACATGTTTAAAAACTCCCACCACTATGCCCATCTGCAGTGACAGTATTTTTCAGTGGAGACTCGGAGCAACCCATTTTAGGAAACAAGGCTGTTCAAACCAGTTGACTCCTCTGTGCCAAAAAGACTGGAACAGGACCAAGCAAAGACTGTCAGATATAATGACAATATAGAAACAGAACACCTGATCATGTTAAAAAATACATTAAATAAAAATCCAAGCTATAGATAAAAATAGGTTAATGTTAGGATTTAGGTTTGGTAAGTGGTGGTTTTCATGTTTTTCTAATCCCAACTTGATTTGGTTCCATTGTACCTGTGCTAAATATTTCTCATAGGTTTATTCACTTGCAGTTTCTGGAAAAAAAGTTGACCATAAAAGTACATACGTACAGTACATACAGGAAGTAGCAGTGAGTTCTCAAACAGAATCTACCTATGCTAATAATGGGCAATATTTTTTTTTCCCTGAGGCCATAATCCAGTCCAGTGGTGGACGGCTACCATTACACAATCAGTGGTGTAACAAAAACAATGATTTCTCTAAAACGTAGGCTACTGCAATCTATACTACAATATAATACTTACCCGGAAGTCAAATAAACTTAAATAAATAAACACCAAAATAAAACATAATAAAAAGAGCAAAAGCAAAATCAATTTCTAATGATGGTTAACTATGTTTTACTGAAATGAGTGTCAGTCTACGTGTAAGAACTAAGAAAAAAGTGGTTGTTTTTCTGTTAGAGGAGTGAGTATATGGAACAATCTGAGTGATGTTTTTAAAAAGTCTAATACTGCAGAAGCCTTTAAAAAGGATATAAAGCATTATGTTTTAAAGATATAGAACTTTGGAATGAACAAATTATGCATTCAATTTAGTTTGTTTTAATTTATGTTTTGTCCCTCATATATACAGTAAGTTGTAAGTGAAATTGTGAGTACTACTACTAACCTGTCATATGTGTGCGTGTGTGTGTGTGCGTGTGTGTAGGGAATCTGTGCTGCAGATGATGCAGGCAGGACAGAGGGTCGTGGATAACCCCATCTACCTGAGCGACATGGGGGTCGCCCTGACTGGAGCCGAGTCCCATGAGCTGCAGGAGATTTTGGAGGAGACTGACGTAAGGCTGCTGCTGTTAGGATATTATGTTATATTAGAGGTGTCATGTATTGTATGTCAGGTATTGGCCTGTAAGAGATCATTAGTTGTTGTGTTTCCTCCTCTTCTGGTGAAAATAATTATTATTAGACACTAATTTACCTTGATGTTGTCTGCAGATTCCCAAGAGGCTCTACAAGGCCCTGTCTCTGCTCAAGAAGGAGTACGAGCTGAGTAAACTTCAGCAGCGGCTGGGCAGAGAGGTGAGAGCTTGCACGCACGCACGCACACGCACACAAGGCCCCCGGGATAATCTGTCCCTGTGCTCTCAGGTGGAGGAGAAGATCAAGCAGACCCACAGAAAATACATGCTGCAGGAACAACTCAAGATCATCAAGAAGGTGCTATAGTGTTGATTCATGTGCAATAAATGCTGTTGAGGAGGAGGAGGGACTGAGGAAGTATTGAAGAGGTGCAGGGACTGAGGAGGGGGTACAGGGAAGCAGAGGTGAAACTGGCTTGTCTGTCTGTGCAGGAGCTGGGTCTGGAGAAGGAGGACAAAGACGCAATAGAGGAGAAGTTCAGAGAGCGTCTCAAAACACGGACGGTTCCTCAGCATGTGATGGAGGTCATCACTGAGGAGCTCAACAAACTCAGCCTGCTCGACAACCACTTGTCTGAGTTCAAGTATGTCTGGTCCAACTGATATTGCCTATTACAGTGTACTGCAAAAGTACTAGTATGTGAGGTACTTCCACCGTACTATTGGTGTTTACAGTGATAGTTTTCTGGGATATTCCAGGGCACAGATGAGCAGCCTCTGCACATCTGACTGTCCAGATAACTTGTCCAGTCTGACCAGTTTTTGTGCTCCCTCAGTGTAACCGGAAATTATCTGGACTGGCTGACCAGCATGCCCTGGGGCAGTAACAGCGAGGAGAACCTGTCTTTAACTCGAGCCCGCGAAGTGCTGGATGAAGATCACTACGGTATGGACGACGTGAAGAAAAGGATCCTGGTGAGATTTGCGCAGGCTGAAGGCTGTCATGTATGTGGTACGTTTGTGCTCATGGAGGTTGTTTGCAGGAGTTTATCGCGGTGAGCCAGCTCAGGGGCTCCACTCAGGGGAAGATCCTGTGCTTCTATGGGCCCCCGGGTGTGGGAAAGACCTCCATTGCCCGCTCCACTGGCCGCGCCCTCAACCGCGAGTACTTCCGCTTCAGTGTGGGTGGCATGACTGATGTGGCCGAAATCAAAGGACACAGGTGTGTACCACGGAGCTCCTCTGCACCCTAACCTGAGGACGGCTCCTCTGCTGTCTGTGCAGTTGAGGACTAATGTCTGTTTGTGTCCTCCAGGAGGACCTATGTAGGGGCCGTGCCAGGGAAGATAATCCAGCGCTTGAAGAAAACCAAGACAGAGAACCCTCTGGTGCTCATAGATGAGGTCTGTCTATTATGTATTAGAGTTGTCAGTGCTGTTAAATGCTGTTCAGACATAGTCTCTGTGTGTGTGGAGGTGTGACCAGCTCTCTTTTCTCCTCAGGTGGATAAGATGGGCCGGGGGTATCGGGGGGACCCATCCTCTGCCCTGCTGGAGCTGCTGGACCCTGAGCAGATTGCCAACTTTCTGGACCATTACCTGGATGTGCCCGTGGATCTGTCCAAGGTGAACGCTACACTCATGCACCACATATTCCCCTCACATGTCATACACATCCTTCACACATAACCACGCCACGCGCTCCCCTCACACGCCACACTCTCTTCACACTCTCTCTTCACATGCCACACTCTCTCTTCACACTCTCTCCTCACACGCCACACTCTCTCTTCACACTCTCTCCTCACACGCCACACTCTCCTCACACGCCACACTCTCTCTTCACACTCTCTCCTCACACGCCACACTCTCTTCACACGCCACACTCTCCTCACACGCCACACTCTCCTCACACGCCACACTCTCCTCACACGCCACACTCTCTTCACACACCACACTCTCCTCACACGCCACACTCTCTTCACACGCCACACTCTCTCTTCACACGCTCTCCTTCACACGCTCTCCTCACGCCACACTCTCTTCACACGCCACACTCTCTTCACACGCCACACTCTCTCTTCACACGCTCTCCTCACTCTCTCTTCACACGCTCTCCTCACGCCACACTCTCTTCACACGCCACACTCTCTCTTCACACTCTCTCCTCACACGCCACACTCTCTCTTCACACGCTCTCCTCACACGCCACACGCTCTCCTCACACGCCACACGCTCTCCTCACACGCCACACGCTCTCCTCACACGCCCCACGCTTTCCTCACATGCCACACTCTCTTCACACACACTCTTCACACGCCACACTCTCTCTTCACACGCTCTCCTCACACGCCACACGCTCTCCTCACACGCCACACTGTCTTCACACACTCTCTTCACACGCCACACTCTCTCCTCACACGCCACACTCTCTCTTCACACGCTCTCCTCACACGCCACACGCTCTCTTCACACGCTCTCCTCACACGCCACACGCTCTCCTCACACGCCACACTCTCTTCACACACTCTCCTCACATGCCACACTCTCTCTTCACACGCTCTCCTCACACGCCACACTCTCTCTTCACACGCTCTCTTCACACACCACACTCTCTCTTCACACGCTCTCCTCACACGCCACACTCTCTTCAAACACTCTCCTCACACGCCACACTCTCTTCATACGCCACACTCTCTCTTCACACGCCACACTCTCTCCTCACACTCCACACTCTCTCTTCACATGCTCTCCTCACACGCCACACTCTCTCTACACACGCTCTCCTCACACGCCACACGCTCTCCTCACACGCCACACTCTCTTCACACACTCTCCTCACATGCCACACACTCTCTCTTCACACGCTCTCCCGCACACGCCACACTCTCTCTTCACACGCTCTCTTCACACGCACACACACACTCTCTCTTCACACGCTCTTCTCACACGCCACACTCTCTTCAAACACTCTCCTCACACGCCACACTCTCTCTTCACACGCCACACTCTCTCTTCACACGCTCTCCTCACACGCCACACTCTCTCTTCACACGCCACACTCTCTTCACACGCTCTCCTCACACGCCACACTCTCTCTTCACACGCCACACTCTCTTCACACGCCCTCACACGCCACACTCACTCTCTTCTCACACGCCACACTCTCTTCACACACGCTCTCCTCACACGCCACACTCTCTCTTCACACGCTCTCCTCACACGCCACACTCTCCTCACACGCCACACTCTCTTCACACACTCTCCTCACACGCCACACTCTCTTCAAACACTCTCCTCACACGCCACACTCTCTCTTCACACGCTCTCCTCACACGCCACACTCTCTTCACACGCTTTCCTCACACGCCACACTCTCTCTTCACACGCCACACTCTCTTCACACGCTCTCCTCACACGCCACACTCTCTCCTCACACGCCACACTCTCTCTTCACACGCCACACTCTCTCTTCACACGCTTTCCTCACACGCCACACTCTCTCTTCACACGCTTTCCTCACACGCCACACTCTCTTCACACGCTTTCCTCACACGCCACACGCTCTCCTCACACGCCACACTCTCTCTTCACACGCTCTCCTCACACGCCACACTCTCTCTTCACATGCTCTCCTCACACACCACACTCTCTCTTCACACGGGACCGGGGAGGTGCCATGTCCGTGCAGCTGCTGAAGCCTGTCACCAGCCTTTCTGTTTGCGTGTGATGGCCCAGTGCGGCCCCGCAGAGCCCGGCCCCGGCGCTAACTCCTCTGTGGAGCCCAGTGGAAACCGGTGCTGTTTGAGATCTTTGGGGAAATTTGGACTGTGCAAGCCCGGCTTGGGCAGGGGGTGTCCGCCTCCGTGTACCAGGTGAGCTCCGGGAGAGCCAGCACCGCAGCTGTCAAAGAGTTTCAAGCCGAGTCTCATGGAGGGGACTACGGAGCGTGCTGGAAGGGATCCAGGGACACAAGAACATCGGTACACTTACGACACACGCATGCACACACCTACACACATTGTTTGCCTCCATAAGAGAGGCACGGCCTCATGATGTGAGTGCGGGTGCACATCATGGTCTGACAGTGACAGCACCGCAAAAACCTGTGTAACGTACATCATATGACCTCGGTGTGTGCTGTGTTGTTGTTGCAGTGACACTGTACGGAGTGTTCACACACCACAGCAGCCTAGGGGTGCCCACACGCTGTCTGCTGCTGGAGCTGCTGGACGTGAGTGTGTCCGAGCTGCTGCTGAGGGCCGGGGCCCCACACTGCCACAGGTCAGTGGGACACAACCTAGGCATTCGTGCATGGCTTTATGTGATATCTGTGAACAAGCTGGCTTTTTTGAACAATTCCTTCACGAGAACAGTTGGAACTGAATCTAATAAGAAAAAAAAAATTATGCTTTTATGCTTTAACTCTGAACCTACACAAGAATCAGCAATGAAGCAGAGGAGGCAACACGAGTCACAAAAAAAATATTTGTCTTAGTAACTGTTAATTTTTAATAATAATTATAATTATTATAGTGCAACACCCAAGTTTGAACTATTTAAACAGGTCTGAGCCTCGGTCATTTTGTCAGTTTGTAGATAAAAATTAGTTCTCACATGGTTTCTGTCTTATAACTAAGTATAAAAGAGCCAGTCTTTTGAACAGAAAGGAACGCATCCAAAAGATTCAGATCCTATAAAGGAGCACTAGCTCAAAGCACCTCAGTTTAGGGATACACCAGTACCGATATTGGTATCGAATTTTGGCGTCGATCCAGGAAAATTTGGATCGGGTATCGGCTCCATGATATTGGTTCAGCTGATATCCTGGATGGGCCATTAAGTGAATGTAATAAGATTGATGCTGGCCCAGAAAGTCTCATAATGTGTGAACTTTTATTCATACAAAGCTGTTCAATAGTTACTTAAATAACAGTTACAGAACACAACTGAATCAATATTGTTAGAACTTAACTGTATTTTTTTGGGGGAAAAAAGGCCATTCCTACACTGGTATCAGTTTATTTCCGATAACAGCAGTTACTTGAAGCCACAGTATTACTATTGTTATCATAATTGAAAAAACTGAATCTGTGCACCCCGGTCTCTGTTTGTGGGCTTGTATGCTTTCTGTCCCATAGGCTGCAGCAGGGCCACTCCATGTGGCTAGTGCAGCACTGTGCTCAAGACGTGCTGGAGGCTCTGGCCTTTCTCCACAGAGAGGGCTATGTCCACGCTGACCTCAAACCTCGCAACATGTGGAGTGCAGACGACCAGTGCTTCAAACTCATCGACTTCGGCCTCAGCTTCAAGCAGGGCAACCAGGTGAGCTCCTCCCACGGTCTCCATGGTATCGTGAGTGTACCCGACAGGTCCGAGACTCCAACAGCATGCACTTCCTCTCCTGTATCCTGCCCTGTGGTTGCTGCTTCTGCGCTACAAATAAAATGGTCCATGCTTTCTTTTGTTCTCTCAGCAGTAAACAATGTACATTTTAGGTATCAATGAAATATTATTCCTCATTTTGTGAACTGGGCATATGAATTTTCCAACCGGAGCTAATTGTAAAGATACTCTATAAATGATCCTATGTGTAATGACTTTCATTGTCCACATGGCAGCAGTATCTCCATTGGCAGAGCTCTAGCTCCTTCTGATATTGGTTTTGGTGCTCCTTCTGTTTATGTGAAAGTGTTGAGTAACTATAATAAAAGCTGGTGGAGAGGCTGCTGGCTCCAGACTACATAAAACACTTTGGCACTCTTGTAAAGTACATTATTATTACTATCATTTAAGATGTGTCATGTTTTTGAAATGCAGGATGTGAAGTACATCCAGACGGACGGGTATCGGGCCCCTGAGGCTGAGCTGCAGAACACTCTCGCCCAAGCTGGAGTGGAGCTGGAGGTCCACTGCACTGCAGCCGTGGACCTGTGGAGCCTGGGCATCATCCTCCTGGAGATGTACTCAGGAGCCAAGCTCAAGGACACAGTGCGCTCACAGGAATGGGAGGTACACTCATACATGTCACTTCAAATCTGCTTTGTATTCCTCAATATTGTAAACATCATAGTGTCGTCACGAAACTAATATCTCAAACTCTAAATTTCTATACTAAGTAAGGAATAAACTCAATATACTAGTATAAATTCTGGTACATAGTGATAACAAGAACACTCATTTAGACAATAGAGTGTGATTTTCAACATTAAAAGCAGTACTTTTTTTTTTTCTATTCCCACGTGTCCTTGTATGTGTGTTGTCTCTGTTTCCCAGGTAGGTTCCATATTGGTCCATGGGCGTACACTGGTCTATGTGTTCAGCTCATCATTCTAAAGCTATTCAGGAAAGGCTCATTTCTGTATTTGTGCCTGTCTTAAAACAATTTTTGGCAGTGTTTGCTAATATGTGCCTTTTGTCACCATGGTAACTGCCATACACATACATGTGAGAACATCGTGATGTCACTACAAAGTATCATTGAATAAGCATATTTTAAACTGATTCTAATTTCTAAAACCTTAACATAAATTGAGGGTTGAGGGGGGAAAAAACCCTCCTTTTTCCTGTTGATCACATTGTACTTTATCATAAAATAACCAAAACGTAAATAAAAAAATTTAACCTGGTATTTTCAGTTACTGACTAAACCCAATAACTCACTGTACTGCAATATAATTTTACTTTTTTATTAACTTATTTACTTATTTTTATTAATTTATTAATTTTAGCTGCCCCCCATCTGTATTAATTATTACTAGACAATAGAATGCTGTGATGTCATCTGAAACCCAGCAATACTGTTTGAGTGGCTGTTTTCTTCTGGGAAAACACCTTCATCTCCTTTATGTCGGCCCAGTCTATTCCTATTTCAAGCTCTACTAACTTAACTTTTATTATACTGTTTATGGGGTAGTGCAGTTGTTCCAGAACCTTTTTTCCGCCATGTTCTGCTCTGCTTCTACCAGAGAAATCAGATACTAATCAATACTAAAACTAGTATCAAAACTAGATGCTTAGTTGAGCAGGTATCAATGATAAAAATGTTCCGTTTACAGCCTTTCCTAAATGTCTTTAGAACGATCTTGAGCTGTATCAGAATAAGTATAAGAGCACAGAGACTAGTATACACACATGGACCAACATGGAACCTACCCGGACCACTGAGGGATTACACGCATATATAAGGACACATGGGAATATATACTATGTACTAATGATGTACATAGCCTGCACATGTCGTAGATCTGTATAACGCATCCCTATAGCTGATGAATGCAAGAGGATGGACTGCTATGTTAGTTTCATTGTTGCTGCTGCCAGAATTTGCATTTCCTTCAGGATCAATAAAGTATCTATCTATCCTATTGTTTAAAGAAATAGTTTTTATCACCATCGTGGGATCAAAAATGGTATTAATTATCAGGTCTTTTCCATATTATCGAAATAGAGTTCGAAATGTTTGTATCTCGACAACCCTACTAAGCAGAAATGGTGTGACGAACCCACTTGTTCTTTAAGATTCAGCTCAGTGTTTTATATATGAATGCCCTGGTGTCTTGATTGCTATTGCACTGGGATGGCATAGTGAAGAGCATTCCATGATCCAATAGTAGTTGTTCCTGCGATTTGTAACACCTCTGCCTTCCTCAGGACAATAGTGCAGCTGTTATTGACAAGATCTTCGTCAGCAAGAGTGAGGCGCACCCTGCTATTCCTGTGTACCACCTCCGAGACCTGATCAAGAGGTGACTTTTACGTGACCTGACTGCTCCTCTCATGTTCCCTGACCATCTAACTGTTCCTCATGTGTTCTCCTGACCCTCTGACTGTTCCTCATGTGTTCTCCTGACCATCTGACTGTTCCTCATGTGTTCTCCTGACCTCTGACTGTTCCTCATGTGTTCTCCTGACCATGTAACTGTTCCTCATGTGTTCTCCTGACCATCTGACTGTTCCTCATGTGTTCTCCTGACCCTCTGACTGTTCCTCATGTGTTCTCCTGACCATCTAACTGTTCCTCATGTGTTCTCCTGACCCTCTGACTGTTCCTCATGTGTTCTCCTGACCATCTAACTGTTCCTCATGTGTTCTCCTGACCCTCTGACTGTTCCTCATGTGTTCTCCTGACCATCTAACTGTTCCTCATGTGTTCTCCTGACCCTCTGACTGTTCCTCATGTGTTCTCCTGACTCCTGACCCTCTGACTGTTCCTCATGTGTTCTCCTGACCACTGTTCCTCATGTGACCTCTGTTCTCATGTGTTCTCCTGACCATCTAACTGTTCCTCATGTGTTCTCCTGACCATCTGACTGTTCCTCATGTGTTCTCCTGACCGTTCCTCACTGTTGCTCCTTCTCCTGACTGTTCCTCATGTGTTCTCCTGACCATCTAACTGTTCCTCATGTGTTCTCCTGACCATCTAACTGTTCCTCATGTGTTCTCCTGACCATCTGACTGTTCCTCATGTGTTCTCCTGACCCTCTGACTGTTCCTCATGTGTTCTCCTGACCATCTAACTGTTCCTCATGTGTTCTCCTGACTGACTCTCATGACTCCTGACTTTCCTCATGTGTTCTCCTGACCATCTCTGTTCCTCACTGTTCTCCTCATGTTCCCTGACCATCTCTGTTCCTCATGTGTTCTCCTGACCATCTGACTGTTCCTCATGTGTTCTCTCCTGTGTCCTCTCTGACTCTGACTGTTCCTCATTGTTCTCCTGACCATTCTGTTCCTGACATCTGTGTTCTCCTGACCATCTGATGTTCCTCATGTCTCTTTTATGTTCACATGACTATGTGGCCATATTGCATGCTTGCATTTTGTCCCTTGCTATTGCAAACACTATTATTCTCAGTTAAATTTGTTAATTAGCTCATGAGCTTCATTGTATATTATTGTGTAACAAGAAATGGACCAGTATTTTTCTTCCATGGCTGATGTGATAGAGATTGTTTAGAATCCAGAGGGCTGATGAGCTCCAATGCCAATATTTTTGGGCTGGGCCATATGTAGGGTCAGTTTTGATTATTTTCCTCAAAATATCTCATTTGAATTTAGTATGAAGTCATCCACAAACCTGTTTACTACAAACTGCAAGAGAGCTGTGTAGTCACATTTTGTCAGTACCCTCATTAAACAAAAGTGTTTAAATGAAGCTTTATGCATATAGAGGCAGCAGGTTGGGCTAAATAAAGTCTAGTTTTAAGGCTGACTGCTAATTAATCAGAGGGTAATGGCACGTAGTGTGTGTGAGCTAGATAAGCCAACAGTGAAAATGTGGTTAAAGCACACGGTACCACAACATGAGAGTGACCTGATGGTGTTAGACTAAGCTACCTAATGTGGACCTACACAGTTCAAATCAACACCAAAGGGAAATCCAAAGAGAAGACTTTTAACTATGTGTTATACAAAACCAGGTGACAGTGCACCACATGCTAAGCCAACAGTACAGTAATGGTCCACACTCATGCTCCTGCACCTATAGAATCAAAACTATACCAGTGACTTCTTGAGAAACACTTGATGTCCAAGTTCATAGGTCATTTCTTGATACAGTAGGTGACTCTATTTCTATCAAAATATTAGATTACAGTAAAAGGTACCTAGAGTTGGGAGTTCTCTTGATCCTTTTACTGTTCCCTTGTCTCAAAGCATGCTGCTGAAGAGCCCTCAGCAGAGATGCACTGCGTCTACAGCACTGCTCAGCCCCTTCTTCAGTATCCCTTTTGGTAAGTGTCCACCCTTGTGGACAATAAGGGGGCAAGAAGGACTTACATTTCTGTACTCATCAGGATTATATATTCTTATCAAATATCTAAATCCGTGTGTGTGTACAGCTCCACACATCGAGGAGATGGTGTTGCTGCCGTCTCCTGTCCTGCGCCTGCTCAACCTCATCGATGACAGCCACCTGCATAATGAGGACGAGTATGAAGGTAGAAACTTACCAGTGTTTGACCTATGAGGAACACAGTGGAAGATGAGAGGACAGAGGGACAGGAGGAGAGACTGAGAGAGGAGCGATGGAGAGATGGAGAGATGGAGAAGAAAGATGGAGAAACAGAACGAGAGAGAGCTGAGACAGAGAGAGAAAGAGAGCTGAGACAGAGAGAGAGGGGCATGTTTTTTTAATTTCCAGAAAAAGTTTGAGAAGGCTTAAGAGAGTCAAGAATCTGTAACATACTGCGTTATTAGAATGCTCAAAATTCCCGAATTGAGGCAACTGGACGAAAAGTGGTTATAAGATAAAAATATTAGATAAAAACTAAAATGTTTAAGTCATAACAAAAAGTTGCTTTTCTATATCAAACAATATAGAAATTTTGCTTCAAAAAAGTATAATTTGTTTTAAAATATTATATATAAATGTTATATATCTTTTGACTGAATAAAAACTATTGTCGGGGTTAACTTCTATAAGTATTTGTTCAGTAAATCCTTGAAACCACAATTTAAGTTTCTATCATAAATCTATGATAATTCTTCAATTATGATAATTCCTATAATTTCTAAATTGAAGTCATAAAATAAATAAATCATGTAAAATGCAGTAGTAGGTCTTTAAAGCAGGTTGTAGTATCATGCATGTTTGTGACTGCTACTCCATTTGTCCCATGTGCTGTGTGTGTTTCAGATATCCTGGAGGACATGAAGGAGGAGTGTCAGAAGTATGGCTCTGTGGTGTCTCTGCTCATCCCCAAAGAGAACCCCGGCAAAGGACAGGTGGGACTGCACACAGGGAAATCACCAAATGGTTCTGAAAGAGCCAAATCACAATAAGGACGGCATTTTTTGGCAGTAGCTGTATCCCAGTAACAATATTCAGACAATATTCTGTTGGTTCAACAGAAAGGTCCTAAAACATATTCAGGATTTGTTGAAGGTCCCATAGCTTTGCTTAGAATTCTCCACAGTATGGCATTAAACTTATTTAACTTATTTTAGAGGTCAGATCTGTGTAGAGGTGAACTTTCTCAAAGTAAAAAAAAAATGTTCAAGGCATTTGTGATCAGTCCAAGCATTGGTTATGTTTGTTACATTATTTTAAACAAATAATGTTCAGCCTCAATGTGGAACATTGTGTGGAATAATATGTGCAGAAATACAAAATATAGGCAGTATTCCAATTTAGCATATCTTCAAAACAGCATTCACAATATTTTCAATATATCTCACACCTCCAGATCAAAATAATGTATGTGCGTGTGTCTGCGTGCATGTGTGCGTGCATCTGTGTTTGTGTGCCTGCGTGCATCTGCGCGTGTGCGTCTGCTCGTGTGCTTCTGTGCGTCTGCCTGCGTGCATCTGTGTGATGTGCGTCTGCTCGTGTGCGTCTGTGCGTCTGCCTGTGTGCGTGTGCATGCATCTGTGTGATGCGTCTGCATGTGCGTGTGCGTGTGCCTGTGTGCGTGTGCCTGTGTGCGTGTGCGTGCATCTGTGATGCGTCTGCATTTGCGTCTGCTCGTGTGCGTCTGCCTGTGTGCGTGTGCGTGCATCTGTGTGATGCGTCTGCTCGTGTGCGTCTGTGCGTCTGCCTGTGTGCGTGTGCATGCATCTGTGTGATGCGTCTGCTCGTGTGCGTCTGTGCGTCTGCCTGTGTGCGTGTGCCTGTGTGCGTGTGCGTGCATCTGTGATGCGTCTGTATTTGCGTCTGCTCGTGTGCGTCTGCCTGTGTGCGTGTGCGTGCATCTGTGTGATGCGTCTGCTCGTGTGCGTCTGTGCGTCTGCCTGTGTGCGTGTGCATGCATCTGTGTGATGCGTCTGCTCGTGTGCGTCTGTGCGTCTGCCTGTGTGCGTGTGCGTGCATCTGTGTGATGCGTCTGCTCGTGTGCTTCTGTGCGTCTGCCTGTGTGCGTGTGCATGCATCTGTGTGATGCGTCTGCCTGTGTGCGTCTGCCTGTGTGCGTCTGCCTGTGTGCGTCTGCCTGTGTGCGTGTGCCTGTGTGCGTGTGCATGCATCTGTGTGATGCGTCTGCATGTGCGTCTGCTCGTGTGCGTCTGCCTGTGTGCGTGTGCGTGCATCTGTGTGATGCGTCTGCGTACGTATGTCTGCGTGTGTGCGTCTGAGTGCGTGTCTCTTCGTGTGTCTCTGTGTGCATCTGCATGCATGTCTGCGCACATCTGTGAGCGTGCGTCTATGTGCGTGTGTCTCCGTGTCTCTGTGCGTGTGTCTGTGTACGTGTGCATGTGTCTGTGTGTGTGGGTGTATGTGTCTGTGTGTCTGCGCACGTGTGCATGTGTCTGTGTGTGTGAGGCAGGTCTTTGTGGAGTACTCCAGCTCCAGTGACGCCAAAGAGGCCCAGAGGCTGCTGACGGGACGCACCTTCGATGGGCGCTTTGTGGTGGCCACCTTCTACCCCCTGAGAGCCTACCGGAGGGGCTACCTCTACCAGACACTACAATGACACTCCATTCCAACTGCTTGACTATAGTTTACTCATGATGTCATGTATTGTTTTAAGTCTGTGTGGTTCTCTAAAGACCAACAGCATGTCCCAGCCCCAGGCTTGACCTTTGAGTGTGTCATTGGACAGGAGGACCCCTGCTGTGTCCTAACGTGTACACACTGCATATTAGTTTTCTTCGAGTTGATGATCAAAAGCCTTCGTCTCTGCCTAAATGAGATAGACATAGATCTGTTGTATTGCATTTATTGATTTTCCATTTTAAATGAAGTGTGATGAGGTCTGTTAAAGTGCCTTTTAAATAAATATCATTCATAAGAAAACTATAAATCTATCTTTTATCCTATAGAAATATATCATTGGCATTGATAAAATGTTATTGATGGAAAAAAAGACCTCTTAACACAAGTGCCAAAAGGGTGTGTGGTATAAATTAAATGCAAGAAATATCTTGGAACCGTTGGTTCTCAGCAGTTATTTATTTGTGTAAAAAGACATGTGCTTTTTCTGGTATTTCATTTTAAAATATAACATATGTAGATCATCGTTTACATTGAGTTGTAAACCACAATAATGGATGTTTAGAGTTCAGACATAAAAAAATAGAAACTGATCTTGACTTTCTGTTCAAAATTGCAGATCTGAGAGACACCTCTTCAATTATGTAATTTCACTGAAACGGTGAGCTGTCCTTGACGTGGTTTAATTTTGAAAAGTGGCTTTGTGACATTTTAGAACCCTATATCTATCACTCTGAATTTTTCAAATGATCACAGGGTAGATGGTGTTCTGAGAACGACCTTACACACTACTACAGCCCTGTGTGTGACCCTTACACATTACTACACCCATGTGACTGACTACAGTCTTGTGTTGTGTGTGACCCCTACACACTACAGTGAAGATGCAGTAGGCCCAGACTTTTCCACATAAAGAGCACAAAAAGTAGTTTCTCTTTGTTTATGCACATGTAGAAGACAGACTGTAGCTCTGACTTTGCCCATGTCTCCCTACCCGTTATTGCTTTGCCTGAGATGAAAATGTGCAACTATGAAACATCTTGAAAGTGACTGTGAAGCCCTGGATATAGAAATGATAACCTATTTATTTTTATATTCTCCCAAGAATTCCAGTGTTCTGTATTGTATGACCAGCTATGTTCATTCTGTGCTTCTACTGTTGGACTGTACCTTATGCACACAGAGCACTCACCCATATTTTACTACTTTGTAGTTCTACTTAATAAAGTGCACTTCTGCTTCCAGTACTCTTGCCATTTACTTTCAGATGACACAACCTTCTGGTGCTGTTTATCTCTCACATGTTTTATTCAACTAATCACTCACAAGATGAAACTCTTCTTCACAGTAGCAAAAGGAGAAATTCCAAAATAACCTAAATAAAATATTGTCCAGTTGACAATTGAATTTCTCCTTTTGCCGTGGATTGTACCTGGAAGACTGGGGGATTGTACACTCTTCTTCACAGTCATGTGGTAAATGTCCACCAATGATCACCATTGGCCCGGGCAGACTGACAGACGTGATGTTGCTAGAACTTCCATGCAGGGTAGTCCTGTTCAACTTACCCAAATATTGAAAAAACAAATATTAGGTCTTGTTTAGTCCTATCCTGGTCTAATCCCGGAATAGCCCCGTTTATGACTGGTACTAGGCTAACCTAGCTATTCTACGTTTCAATAGCACCAGATACGTAAATGTTATTACTGAAAAAGATTTTTGTGCATCTTTTGTGGAGGTGTATTGTACACTGGTTGTGCGCTGGCCCACAGGGACAGTTACCCTGATAGGGGAAAGTATAAACTTATTTAGTTGCCTTTATCTGTACCCCCAGGCCACTGGCGCTGGTTGCTTAGAAAAAGCGTTTGACAGCTGGGTCAGAGCGGACCGGACCTCTGGAGCGGACCGTGACGCGTGTGTCCGCTGTGCCTGAGCCGCCGTGTGCGAGCTTTGGTGCGTGGCCTCGCGTTTTCTGGTCTGACCACGTGATCAAAGAGGACCCCGGAAGTGTGTGCAGAGTGAACATCAGCAGCAGTAACCGCGGCTGTCATCGCTAGAACCGTCAGGTCATCGTCGCTCGTGTGTCCAGCATGCCCGCCCCTCAGTCCAGGTGAGCGCCAGCCTCTGTCCGTGCGCAGTGTGGTGTTGTGCTCCGCAGTCACAGAGATCGGAACACTTTAGGTCGGACAGGAGCTACCGCACCAAAGTTTACTCGTCTGGAGTGCACAAACAAACCCTGACTCTGCTGGACCTGTGAGACCAAAACATTTGAAGGACTTGTTTATCGGACTGACCCTTGGTGTGTGGTCAGGGGTCTTCACCAGCAAAAGCCGCTCGAACTTCGGTCTGGCTCTGGCCTGCTCACGATGGCCTGTAGATTAGAAAATCCTCGTGGGCGCATCAACTGCTCCTCGGCTGTGGGGCCCGGGTAACAGAGGCACTGGAAAGTGGGGGCACTGTGAGGAGCCGGGGAGTGGGTGGTGTACAACTTGATCGGTGCACTGGGTAGGCCCATCTCTCCTCTCTCTATTGTCTGAGAAATAGTCAAATACTGCCGCACGTTCTTAGATCATTGTCCCAGGTCCAGTGTGCCCCCTCCTCCCCTCACGCCTAACCCAGGTCTAAACGCATAATGTAGGTTTAAGACAAATATGAAATGCTAAAATGGGTAAAGTTGCCAGTAAACGTGTAGAAATGCCACTTAATTAAAACGTTCCAAAAAGAGTATTAATTATTAATTTACTATATAGTATATGCTATATTCAGTATTCAAATATAGCATTCACAATATGAGCACTTCCTCAAACAATACCTTTCCATCTCTAATCTAACTCCAAGAAAGAATTTGATAAGTGGTCCGGACAAAAGCCGGACTAAACCATGACACACATGTACTTTTACAGTCAGTGGGGCAATGTTTTTGGGTCATGGGATATTTGAGGGGCAGGTGAAGGGCAGGTGAAGGGCAGGTGGAGATTCTGGGGTTCTGCTGCTCTCACTGTCCCCCCTCTCTCTGTGTTTCTGCTCCGTACAGGGTCGCTGCCGTCAGCACCAGTGCCAATGCAGGTCTGGAGGGCTTCAAGGCTCATGCAGTGTTCCAGGAGATCCAGAAGAAACTGCAGGAGGTCAGAAGTCCTTCTCACATCCCTGCTCACTTCAACCCACCAAACACCTTATGGCCACAGGGGTATTGTGTAGGGTTAGCCTATATGCAGACAAAAAAGCAAATAGCTGAAGTACTACTAGTGCTGCTGCTACTCCTGTTACTATAGAACATATATAGAGTAATGGACCTGAGCCAGCAGCCTTTGCCTGTACACAAACACTGGGATAGAGTTTAAAGTCCACTCAAACAAACTGTGTATAACCATCATGTTATTTTAATTCTATTGTCTCCATACAAACATTTCAAACTCTATTTCAATCCTAAGGAATAGACTCAATGATAATATAGTCTTTCTTTAGACAATATAATGTGATTTTCAACATTAAAGCGTGGTTCTTTCTTTTCTGTTCCCATGTGGTCTTCTGTGTGTAATCCCTCAGTGGTCCAGATAGGTTCCATAGTGTTCATGAGCATGAACTGGTCTATGTCTGATACATGTTCTGATACAGCTCAAGATCATTCTACAGCTATTCAGGAAAGGTTTATTTCTGTCATCCAATGGGTTTTTTTAGTATCTGCTCAAATCAGTACCAGTTTCAATACTAGTTTTAGTATCGATTTGTATCAGATTTTTTTTTTTTACTTTAACAAACCTACCTGTCATGTGGACTTTAAACCTTTCTCTCTTGCATCACATAACCCATCATACATTTGTCATACACACAAACGTTAAACTTTGCACACTGCTGTTACTGTGTTCTGTCAGGAGGGGGAGCAGTTTGTCAAGAAGATCGGAGGAGTGTTTGCCTTCAAAGTGAAGGACGGGCCAGATGGTCAGGAGGCCACCTGGTACGTGGATGTGAAGAACGGCAAGGGCAATGTGCACAACAACACAGGTGAAATGCACTGACCACTGCTGAGTGTTATGCAGTTGTAATCCACACTAGGGATGTCAAGATTATGCAGTTAATCGATAATCAATTCCTGAGGTCATGATATTAATGTAAGAATTAGAATAAGAATAATTTTGTAAATAAATTAAGTGTGTGTCTGCAGCAGAGAAAGCTGACTGCACCATTGCCATGTCCGACGCTGACCTGCTGGCCCTGCTCACCGGTCAGATGAACCCTCAGACGGTCAGTCATCAGACTTGTATTTTCAGCACATTCTGTTAATGGATTTCATAGTTTAAGATGGAAGAAAAAGACCTGCATTACTCTACTTCAGGAGGAGAGGAGAAACGGAGGGAGAGAATTAGAGACCGAGAGGGGAGAGAGGGAGAGGACAGGAGGAGGAGGAGGAGGAGGAGAGACAGAGAGGAGGAGAGGAACACTTGCAAAGACCCATATTTTCAGAGCACTGAGGCTCTGTGTTGTGCCGCTTTATAGTTTTATAGTTTCACACTCAAACCACAACACAGTCACAGTGAGAAAGCCCAGACACAGGACAGGCAATGAAAATAAATGCACCGTGTGGCCATGCCAAACGTGAGGATTTCCAAAGTAAAATTCAAAGCACCAATTAAGAGTCTTTGTGAACCTGTGCTCCTTCAAACAATACAGAAGTGCTCCAGCAGTACACTGTGGCAAATGTACAAATTCAACAACAGCTGCACGCTTTCTATGTATACTGATGGGGATACGCGCCCTGCACTCTTGTAGAGCGTCACTTGAGTAGGACAAAATACAATGCCGTGTGTCCTAGACCTCAGTTTGTGTCTCTGTTCCTTAGGCGTTCTTCCAGGGCAAACTCAAGATCACAGGAAACATGGGATTGGCCATGAAGCTCCAGACTCTCCAGCTGCAGCCGGGACGAGCCAAGCTGTGACTGATGCACTCCCCTTAGCCCACACTGACTCCATCCGGCCCACCCAGCGCAACTCTGTAGCCTGGGACAGTGCACAGAAATGGAGTGTGTAAAATTGAGTCTCAGTAACATGTCTGTGTAAAATTCTAATCTAAAGGAGATCAGGATGGGAGCTTTATTGCTGCCCTGTGCACTCAGCTGGACATATGACAAGGCCATCATTTGGATTTCAGGTTATTTTAAATTTTAATTTTATGAAAAAGGTGCACTACGTAACTTTTCTGGGAGAGGATCGAACACATGCTTGTCTCCATGGAGATGCTTTTGCTCTGCCTGCAATGTTCCACAGTGTAGCTTAAACATTTCTATCCCCATGGAGACAAGCAGGTGATGTCAACACAGGAAATTATTGGTGAGATCTGTGGAGAGGTGATCCCCAGCAAGAATGCATGCACTTTCAAGTATTTCCTTAGCAATAAAAACAGCTGTTATTGAATAAACACAAGATAGATAAGTTTGATGCCATCCGCTCCAGGCTAAGCAATAAATGGTGAATAACAATGTGGTGATTAATATATGGATACAGCAGCACATGATGACTATATTTTGTGACAGTCATGTTACAATGTAGTTTGACACATTGTTTGATGATGGGTGTATTTTAGATTATGTTTCTGCAGGTAATGGTTTAACAAAGAAAAAGCCTACTGTTGTTAAAAGTTCTTTTTTTTTATTTTTTTTTGAAACTAGTGATATATCATTATCATGCAGTATCATCCTCTGTGTTGATTGTTGCATGTATTGTGATCCATGTATCAAATGGTGAGGGACCATGTGATTCTGAGCCTTACAGTGGCAGAGTCTCCACCAGAAAAGTTAAGTCCCGTTTCCACCAGCCTCAGTGTCTGGTCATTGACTGGCCATGGATACAGCACAAGAGTAATGTAAATGTTTTTTTCCCATAGACTTTTTGAAAAATTCAGATATTAAGAGGTCAAAGGCACTGTGGAGACTAACCAGCTATTTGCTAACATGATGCGGTTGTTTTAAGTCCAAAAGGCACATTTACTTCTTTTTTTCCCCAGAAAGTCTGTGGGAAAAATGAATGAGAACTTTATTTGCAGAATCAGGGTAGGCGGTTATTGTTTAGCTCCATGGAAACACAACTAGGCCACACAGGGCTGATGAAAACGGGCCATTGCATAGTGCACCTGAAACACTTAGTAGAGGAAATATGAACTGTCAAGATCATGTGCCAGGACTTGGCTATAAAAGTCTACACTACAGACTAAATGAGCCACACTGGACAAATAACCACTGGACATCTTCTGCTTGCATCAATTTGATCTGAAATCTCCTTCTGAAACCTTTTGTGTCCAGTGCTCATGAGATTTGACTTGAATTGCCGTGTGTGTGTGTGTGTGTGTGTGTGCTCTGAGTTCAGGTGTGAAGGCAGTCTTTCCGTCTTCTGTCCACTTTGATACTTGCTTCCAAAAGTAATGTGGGGCCAAACCCTGTATATACAATGTTCAAATGAGAGGAGCCACACTGCTACACTATGCGACTGACTGAATACTTTGCAAAGCTGTCTCATGTCCACACACTGTTTTTTAACGTGCTAGTTCCACCTCTCTGTATGACTAATGTGATGTGTTTCCTTGTGAGTGCGGATAGATTTGCAGGTCGTTTCTCCTACAGAAGTGCCTCTGTTGGTTTTGTAACTGCTGCAGCTCATGTTGTAAATTCTGCCATCATTTCACAAGTAATTTCTACTAAATAAAATGTTTTCTGATCAGTATCCAGTTTCACCAGCTTTGGGTATTAATGGTTCTAAGGGCCCATGACGCGAGGTTGGTGCATATATTATGCTGTTTTCTGCTATGTTCCCTCAGCAAAAACAGACATGGAGTTCTTGTTTTGTTTCATTTACACATGTTTAACACAGAAATTCTGCATATTCAGGCTGTCCTCTTCTCTCAAACAAACAATACAGGAAGTGCTCCACTGTGTTTTTAAACTCCATACACCTTTACTAGAATCATTTGGTTAAATTCAGCTCTCGAATTGCCAAACTAATGAACATTTTGAGCTTTGGAGATGTAAACAGACTAATAAACCAGGATTACTAAAATGTGTGAATGAAACAATACCACTCCAGGTATTTTTTTTTTTGAGGAGGTAACAGAGGTGGGACCAAGTCATTGTTTTCCAAGTCTGAAGTAAGTCTCAAGTCTTTAACTTCAAGTCCATGTCAAGTCCCAAGTCAAATACAGGCAAGTCCAAGTCGAGCCTCGAGTCACTGGCCCATAAGTCCAAGTCAAGTCCAAGTTGTCTGCTTTGAGCTTCAAGGTTTTAAACCAAAGTACCAAATATAGCTTAGATTTTTGCAGTTTATATGAATTTTAAACTAAATTGTACTTAAAATATTCCTGGCATATTTATATACAAGTTGTAGAAATGCATTTTTTCCTTTTTAAATGTTTTGACAAAATCTTAGTGTGAATCATTATGAGAAAGAATTAAGATTTAAAAGTGCTAAATAACAGCTATTTTGTCTGTACTGAAATGGAAGGAAGTACTGAGGTTCTATGTAGTACCCTCTGTTTTACTGTACTGTATTGTACTGTATTACTGTAGTACATTTGAGGATACCAGATCACAGTACTTCAGTTACAATCAAAGTAACAGAAGTGGGAGGGAAATGTTCCAGTTTGTTCTTGTAAAATTCAGCACCGCATTTATCAGCTGTAAAGAGAAAAGTATTTTCTAAAAACATATATTTTTAGGAGCCGCATCAAATCTTCTCAAGTCACAGGCCTCATGTCTGAGTCAAGTCCCAAGTCCTAAAAATAGTACCTCAAGTCTGACTTGAGTCCAAGTCATGACTTTCAAGTCCCCAGCTCTGGGAGGTACCAATGTTCCAACATGACTAAAAGTTCACAAGAATCCATTTTGTGTAATACAGGACTTAATCACAGTGGGAAGTGTTACCAATACTGGAGCTCAGATTGCAATTTCCAAGCTCTATAGCATTGAATTTCCACTCATGCCTTACGGTATTGCCAGGTGTACCTGGAAAAAATCCAATGTGAGGTAATAGATTCAAACATGGATTTAATAATGTGAATATTATTATTATATTATATTATTTTGCCATTGGTTCAGTCTGTGTTGAGGTAGAGGCAGACACCCTGCAGCACCCAGTGGGAGAGGTGGTCGGCCGTGTTCAGGTCGGCCTCGAACACCAGGCCCTCTCCCATGGCGTTCCTGCGCAGAGACGTGGTGTACACGGGGGTCCTCAGGCTCTCCTGTAGCACAACAATCAAACAATCACACACATCAGTTTACAATTTACAAGGACTAGGAGCTGAGACTGTGCAGGCACCTGTGACATTCTAGTTACTATGTATACGAGTTAGCTTAATTTTAATAGACTTTTAAAAACAAAACAGTTTTTTAAAGAATAACTGTAAATGCATAGTACATATTTTTGTAATATTTATTTTTATCCCCATTACCCATTTCTGTAAAGTAAAGAAAGAAGGAGAAAGAAGTGGGACCAAGTCATTGTTTTGTCTTAAGTCTTAAGTAAGTCTCAAGTCTTTGACCTCAAGTCCATCATCTGCTTTAAGCTTCAAGTCATTTCAGATCTTTAAACCAAAGAACCAAATATAGTTTAGATTTTTGACTTTTATATGAATTTTAAACTAAATTGTTCTTAAAAACTCATTGTGCATTTATATGAGTATTTATATAAGAGTTGTAGAAATGCAAATTTTTCCTTTTTAAAAGTCTTGACAAAATCTGCATCATTATGGTCAGAACAGAAAGAATTCAGATTTAAAAATGCTTAATAATAGTTATTTTATTGTGTAGTCTGCACTGAAAAGGAAGGTAGTTGTAGTTCTTTCTGTTTTACTGTGTTGTACTTTATATTAGTCTATTGTACTGTACTGTATATACTAGTGTTGTATTGTATATTACTGTAGTACATTTGAGGATACCATATCACCGTACTTCAGTTACATCCAAAGTAACAAACAGAAGTCGGAGAAAAATGTCTCAGTTTGTTCCTGTAAAATTCAGCACCACATTTATCAAGTGAAAAGAGAAAAGTATTTTCTAAAAACATGTATTTTTTTTTAGGAGAAGCACTGGGTCTTCTCAAGTCACAGGGCTCAAGTCCGAGTCAAGTCCCAAGTCAATGACCTTCAAGTCTATGTCGAGTCCCAAGACTTAGTCCAATTTATCAAGTCAAGTCTCAAGTCCTAAAAATAGTGACTCCAGTTTGACTCAAGTCACAGTCACAAGTCCCCATCTGTGAAAGTAAACATTCCCAAATCAAATGCTGCTTTTACTGTCAACAATAATATAATGCTTATTTATTCTTAGTTACCATAACATTTGCCATTGCATTGGTAATGTTATGTTATGTGGTGTTTTGGTTGTCAAGACGATTATCCAATCAGAGAGAAGAGCGAGCCTCCTGTGAGAAATAAGCCTAAAATGCCTCTCTGATCTGCATCATCACCTGCAGTCTGAGGCGGCGAGCCTCGATGGGAATAATGTGGAGAATGGGCAGCTCTACTACCAGGACTTCCGGTTTGCTCCGAACTAAACAGCCCTGCTCCATGTCCCAGTCTGCTCCCTCCAGGTACAGGCCAGACAGGAAGCAGCCTGTGCACACACACATACACAGTCTTGGTTTACCCTGGGGCAGTATACATAAGAAAATATTTATCTTCTTTACGAGAATTAGAACGATTAAGTTACAATGAAACAGACAACATCCAAGTTTTCTCTGAGCCACGGATTCATCACCTCCAGATTAGATTGTAATAATAATAATAATAATACATAACACTTGTATAGCGCTTTTCAAGATAAAGACGCTTTACATGGGAAGACAAACAACAACAAACAAGAGAAAAAGACAGTTAATGAAAGCTTTTTTTTTAAAGAGATGGGGGTCAGGGAATTTACCCTGACCTCAATCATTAAAGAACACGCCAGAGACACAGTGGTTCTTTTTACTTGCGCAAGGAGTAGGAGAGCGCTGCCTGTCTCATCCTAACTGAAGCCCTTTTATTGTAGAGCACACAATTATCATACAATAGGTTACATTGAATACAGTACCTATTGTTCACATGTTATCTCATGACTGACAAGCTTCCACTGACACAGCCCCCCATTATACACAGATTTCACATTCCAGGTGGTAGAAAGCCTCTAGCAATTCCCCAGAGTCCTGTGTTAACCTCATGATGTTTACCATTACTAGTTGTTTGTCCAGGTACATTTTCTTAATGAGTCAGCTGGTGCATCAGCAAGATCAGCTGATGTTTTCATGTTTACATACAGTTTGAACAAAACACAAAGCAATGTTGATAATCTTATATTGTATCATGATTAATACTTTAAATGATTCATACTTTAAATGAGTAATACTTCTAACACAAAATTCTCTAACAATGGGTTTTCAGGGCTTTTTTAAACATGGGGAGTGTGGATGAGTCTCTGATGTGTTTGGGCAGGGAGTTCCAGAGGGTGAGGGCAGCAACAGAGAAGGCCCTGTCACCCCAGGTCTTATGTTTAGTCCTGGCAGGGGGAGACAGGAGGTTGACATCAGCTGATCGGAGGACACGGGCGGGGGTGTGGTGGTGGAGGAGCTAGGAGAGGTAGGTGGGGGCCAGGTTGTGGAGGGACTTGTACACAATGGTGAGGAGTTTGAACTGAATGCGCTGGGGGATGGGGAGCCAGTGGAGATCTCTGAGGACAGGGGTGATGTGTTCACGGGAGGAGGTGCGGGTGAGGAGGCGAGCAGCAGAGTTCTGTATGTAGAGCAGCTATTGCAGTAGTCGAGGCGGGAGGTGACAAAAGCGTGGATGAGGGTTTCAGCAGACAGAGGGGAGAGGGATGGGCGGAGACGAGCAGTGTTCCGGAGGTGAGAGAAGGCGGTTTTAGTGATGTGTTTGATGTGGTGTTCAAAGGAAAGATTTCCAGCAATAGCAATAGCATTCTGCAGTACATCCAAAACCCCACTGCCCACCTCCTGTCAGAACCTCCACTGGCTCCTGTCAGAACCTACACTGGCTCCTCATCCCTCTGTGCATCCACTTCCTCTTCATCACTTTCTAAGCCCTCCACACCTGCTGCACCCCCCACACTCCATCCCGCTCCCTCTGCTCCTCTTAATCCAACCTGCTGTCCTTCCCCTGTGGTACCAAGCTCCGAACCTGTGGAGACACAGACTCCCCCCCCCCGGAACTCACCACCTCAACAACTCTCAAGACCCATCCATTTAGAAGAGCTTTTAATGTTTAACTTTTGTCAAAATGATTCACAGTTTTTTTCTTTACTGCATTATTTGTTTATTGCTCTCTGACCATTTTAATATGTATTCTGTAACGCATCTTTGAGTGTCCTGAAAAGCACTATAAATTAAATGTATTATTATTTATTTATTTATTATTATTCTCTACTCTCTCTCTACTTATACTTGAAATGACTGGAGATCTCCACCAGTGGCTTCTCATCCATCTGGTGTGTCTGTGGTGTGTTCTTACCCTGGGAGGGGCGGTCGGGCACTTCATCCTCACTGCGGTACTGGGTGACCTGGGTGTAGAGAGTGGACCGGTCTAGGGGCCAGCCGTTCCTCCTACAGGCTGTCTGCACCAGAGCGGTCAGGTAGGACTCTGGGATGTGCAGTCCAGACAGCCACATGACCTTAGGCTCACCCTCCTCCACCTGCAGGACAGAGAGTGACCAGTCAGCCTATAGTCGCAGTATATAATATAGTACATTTGTGTATGTATCAGAGGTGGGACCAAGTCGTTATTTTGCAAGTCTCAAGTAAGCCTCTCAAGTTTTTTACCTCAAGTATGAGTCAAGTCCCGAAGCCAAATACAGGCAAGCCCAAGCCAATCTCAAGTCACTGGCCCATACATCCAAGTCAAGTCCAAGTTGTTTGCTTTGAGCTTCAAGTCATTTCAAGTCTTTAAACCAAAGTACCAAATATAGCTTTGATTGTTGCAATTTATATGAATTTCAAACCAAATTGTACTTAAAAAGGCATACAATATTTATATATGAGTACTTACAGATGCGTTCAAAATTGTTGGTATCCGTCTGGTAATCAAAGAAAAATCAACAATGGTCACTGAAATAACTTGAAACTGATAAAAGCAATAGTAAATACAGTTTTACTGAAAATGTTCCTATGTAAATTAGACATTGTTTTTCACCTGTGGTTCAACAGAATCATTAGAAAAACAAAATGATGAAACTGGCCTGGACAAAAATAATGGTTCCCCTAACTTAATATTTTGTTACACAACCTTTTGAGGCAAACTCTGCAAACAAATGATTTCTGTAAATGTCAGTGAGACTGAGACTGCTTTGGTCAACTGGTATTTTGACCCACTCCACGTGAGCAAACTGCTCTAGTTGTCTCAGGTTTGATGGGTTCCTTCTCCAGACAGCATGTTTCAGCTCATTTCACAGATATTCAATAGGATTAAGATCTGGGCTCACAGAAGAACACTCCAGAACAGTCCAATGTTTTGTTCTTAGCCATTCTTGTCTGTTTTTTGCTGCGTTTTTGGTCATAGTTTTGAGATTCTGTTGTATTTTGCACAGATTCAAGACACCCTGTGCCAGATGCAGCAAAGTAGCCCCAGAACAAAACCAAGCCTCCTCCGTGCTTCAGAGTAAGGACAGTGTTCTTTTCTTGTTGTGCTTCATTTTTGTGTCTGTGAACATAGAGCTGATGTGTCTTGCCAAAGAGCTCCAGTTTTGTCTCATCTGTCCAAAGGACATTCTCCCAGAAGCTTTGTGGCTTTGTCATCATATGCACTGTTAGGCAAATTCTGTCTCTCTTTTTTTATGATTTGTTTTCAACAGTGGTGTCCTCACATCAAGTCCACTTTGGCTTAAACACTGATGGATGGTGTGATCTGACACTGATGTACTTTGCCCTTCAAGTTCATATTTAATTAGTTTGGAGGTTGTTCTGGGCTCTTTGGTTCCATTCGTATTGATCCATCTCTTCAATTTGTCACACATTTTTCCTCTTGCAGCCATGCGTCCAGGGAGGTTGGCTTCAGTCCTGTGGACCTTAAACTTCTGAAGAAAAAAACATGTGTAATTGTAATCACAGTAACATCAAGCTGCTTGGAGATGGTTAAGGTTAGGGTTAGGGTTAGGGTCTTTATCTTTAACCTGCTTGTCTATCATTTTCTTTCTAGTCTCCTGACACAGTTCTCTTCTTCTCTTTCTCTGGTCCATGTTCAGTGTTGTGTCCATCATGTCTCTAAACAGCACAATGACACATGTCCCACTTTAAACAGACAGACTGACTGAGGACAAGTTTGAAAACACCTGTGATGCAGATTAGAGACACACCTAATTTAACATGTCCATATTGTCCAACTATTTACAATTTTTTCTAGGGAGATTTATCATTTTTGTCCAGGCCAGTTTCATCAGTTTGCTTTTAAAAATTATTCTACAACAACAACAACAATTCAAAAATAGTGTCTGATTTTCATTAGTTATTTTTCATTAAATTTAAATTTTTTTATTATTGATTTTCTCAGTTTCAAGTTAGTTCAGTGACCATTGTTGATTTTTCTTTCATTACCAGAGGGTACCAACAATTTTGAACATGTGTGTATAAGAGTTGTAGAAATACATTTTTTTTTTCCTTTTTAAATGTCTTGAGAAGATCTTAATGTGAATCATTACAGACAGAATAGAAAGATAAGAATTAAAAGTGCTAAATAAGTTCCCTCTGATTTACTGTATTGTACCGTATTGTTCTGTATTACTGTATTATCTGTATTTCTGTATTATCTGTAGTACATTTGAGGATACCATATCACAGTACTTCAGTTACATCCAAAGTAACAAATAGAGAAGTGGGAGGGACATGTTCCAGTTTGTTCCTGTAAAATGAAGCAGCGCATGTATCAACTGTAAAGAGAAAAAGTATTTTCTAAAAACTGAAAAAGTATCTAAGTAAGCCCAAGTAAGTTTATATCTTAAAGTATGTATTCTGTAATGCTGGAAATGTTCTGTATGCTGCTGATCTGTTGCTAATACTCATTTAGATGCCTTAAAGAGAGCACACAATAAGAACAAATGCTGTACAGTGTCTAACCCAGTGGTGGTACTGCTCATGTCTCCTCCTAAAGTGGCCCATCCAGTTGCCCAGTGACTTGAGAGTGTCTGGAGCCAGTCTCTTCCAAACAGCAGGGATGTGCCCATTAAACAGAGCACGTGGGCGATCTCGTCCAGCTCACTGCTCATGCCCACTTCTCCTGCCAAGGCCTGTACACAGCACACACACACCATTTAGAGAACACGCTGTACTGTACATACTGCACGACATTCAATCTTTAACTATACTATATTCTTTAACATTCTTAAGACACTCGCTGGTGTAAGGTATACTACCAGTCAAAAGTTTTAGAACACCACACTTTTTTACTGTTTACTGTTTACTGTTGACCAAAAGATATTCTAAACTTTTGATTGATGTGTGTGTCCAGCTTTGGCAGATAGAACAGCTAAACACACTCGCGGCTCGTTCTTTTTACAATAGAAATCAAATATTGTTCAGAAAGTTCTTCCCAAGTCTGTTGCAGAAGTTTCCATAAATGTGTGGCACTTGTAGGTTGCTTCACTCTTCTGTCCAGTTCATCCCAAACCAGCTCCATGGGGTTTAAGTCTGGACACTGTGCTGCTGCTGGACACTCCAGGTTTTCAAGCTTTACCATTTTGATCTTTCCTGAGGTCGTTTTGGCAGAACTTGGACTTGTGTTTTGTGTCTTTTATCTTTTTTAACCTCTGTCTGTTCAGTTCGTACCTTTGTACCATTTCAGGCTCTTCACTGGACTTGCACGACTTGAATTGCAATAAATAATTGAAAAAACGTTTGACTGGCAGTGTACTTCTCAGTCAGAGCAGAGTGATAAAAGGAAGACTGCTATTTCGTGCCAACAGCCTCTCTGTCCACTGCTAATCATACACACACACTCATTTGATTATGTATGGATACTAAAAAGTTGGATTGATAGGACAGAAATGAATCTTTCCTAAATGTCTTTAGAATGATCTTGAGCTGCATCAGAACAAGTAGAAGAGTACATAGACTAGTATACAGTGGTGAAGTGGGGGTACACAATTCGTGACGTCATCGATGTGACCCCCCGCCCACCCATGCTGGCACCACCTAGTGCCTCCGCTCAATTTCCTTTCTCTCCAGCAACTAGGTCAGGAATCAACATACAAAAGACAGTTCACAAAAACCCTGAAAGTGCAAGTTCAGGCAGCAGCCAATCAGGTAAGAGCCAGACATTCTGTGTTGTCAGCATTTTCTGAGATCGAGGATTTAATGCTGGAATAAAGAGAATGTTTGGTGAATTTCATCAAGGGGAAAGACGTTATTTCCCTTCTTCCTACGGGATTTGGGAAAAGCTTAATACTGTATACCAGTTAGTCCCGTTAGCGGCGCATTACATACATCACGACTAAATAGCAGCGATTGGTTAATGATAAAAAGTACCCACCTACCATTGAGCGAACAAATTCTAACACTGCGAGGTCAGAAGGTTTCTACGAAGTGAAACAAAGTGAAAGCGGATGATGATTCAGTCCTGGTTCAGTCCTGGTCTAGTGTCTCAGGTCACTATAGGACAGTACTTCAGATTTCATGAGCCTATGCAGGTTATTTTCACCATTGCCAATTAGCTCCAGTTTGACATTTAAGTTGTAGCTATTTTATATTTGTTATTTTTTCTTTAGCTCACTTTGGGAGAAGTGGGTGGATGGACTGTGTACCCCCACATACCACACCCACTACACTCCTGCTAGTATACGTCCATGGACCACTATGGAACCTACCTGGACCACTGAAGGATTACACACATATAAGACCACATGGGAATAGAAAAAAGTACTACCATTAAATGTTGAAAATCGCATTCTATTGTCTAAAGAAAACCTATTAATGCCCTTAATGCCCCCCTGAGTAACCCCTGAGTGCCCCTGACCTCCCCCCTCACCCTCTGCAGCTCAGCCAGGGAGCGCTGCATGCGGACCACCAGCCTGTTGAAGCGCTCCAGCTCCTGTAGCAGCACCACTGTGGTGGGAGAGACCTTAGCGCCCAGTTTCTTGGGGATCATATCCAGGTCAAAGAGCATGGGCAGTTTCCTCTGGATGTCCTGAACCACCTGGCTGATGTGCTCATCTTTACTGATGCTGCCGCTGGACTCACCTGCACAAAAAGCACACTTGAGCTCTGCTGCACGCTCACACTACACTGAGGCAGTTATTGACAAAGCGCCACTGCCGAATCCTACACATGTCACTGATTAAGACATTGAAACCAAAGGAGGAAGTACAGAACTGTGGGTGTATTTTTCTTTAGGTTTTACCACTTAGTACATTTTATATGCAGAATACATCAAATATATGATGCAAGAAATATGAAATCATGTAGCAAAAAAG